TTATACAAAACAGTTTTTTTTCCCCCCATTTCCCTATTAATTTATTTATTTTAAATTTGATTTCATTTCAAAGACTTTTTTTTTTCTTCTTCATTTCCTTTTCTTCTAACCTCTACCTGACCCCCTCCCCCCCCTCCCCTCATGTTTATGTACTGATGAAGTTGTTGTTTGGGAATGGCTTCAGGCAAACAGGATCTTCAATGGAGATGTATTCTGTTAACAAGTTTTTCCAGGATGAGATGTGAAAACTATCCTCATGAACTGAAAATCAAGAAATACCATTAACATCTCATCCTGGAAAAACTTGTTAGCCCCAACTTCAGACACGCCTTCAGTCAAGCGTTGACGCTGACGCCCCGTGTTAATGGGCCGTTATATTTGAGGGGGCGTGCAAGAAGTTTTGTGCACGAGCAGAGGAAATCGGCGCGCAAGCAAAAAGATCCGCATGCTGTAGGCTATTACATAAATGCGATCTCGACTTCTAATACTGCGCTCACAACATTTGTCATTGAAATAACGCCAGAGGTAGTTGGTAGATTGGTGTATTAAAAAAAGGCCTGCAGCCACAGCTGGAAAACATCCAAGAGGAAACACTTACACAGTGTGAGCAGGGTTTTACTGAGATAATATGCACGCTAGGAATTCTCTGCATTTTTATTTGTTATTGTATATCTTGTAGTGCTTTGAGTTTAAGAAAAGCGCATCATAAACAAAATGTATTAATATTATCAATATAACAGCATTTATTTAAAATATAAATATGTTTTTTTACATTATAAACTTCCTTACTGTTCAGGGCTCAAAATTGCGACCATTTTGGTAGCATAAGCGCCAGCAATTTTACCTATGCGACCTCAAAATATATTTGGGAGCATGTGTGCGAGTGCATGAAATTGTTGTGTGCGACCAGTTTTTACTGCAAAATGTTCAGCACATGGGCGGATTCGGGAGACATTCACGCAGAATGCATCTCTGCACTTGAAACAGGAAACGCAGCGCTCAGGAATGGTTTAAAACAGCTTGTCAACTTGCTGCAGTAAACAAAGCCAAGTCCGTAATGCTTGCCCCGCCTTCGCACTCTTCTCATTGGCCCACTGCTCTAGCACTGAAATATCAGCTGTCAATCACTCAGTCAATGCCTTCTGGCTTGGGATGACAGAGAGAGCTACTACCGCGAAAAACTGATTGAAGATAACACTGACAGATTTAGTTTAAGAAACCATTGCATCTAAAGTTACAAATAATGACACATCTTACTAGTGATCATGTGCTGAATGTTAATCCACCATCTACACTTTTGGAAGAGTGGATAAAAGACTTCCCGGACTTTTCATAGCGGACTTGAAGCCAATGGATGGAGCTTTCAGGTAACTGTTTGCCACATCTAGCACGAGAGCTTCTGTTTAATCCTTCATATAATCGCCAGATGCTGTCCGCCGTGCAAGTGGCAGCTATATGTCAAATTTAACACCACATACACCATCGCAAACAAGCTTACACGGAGTAAACTAATATCGCTACTCATGAAAAGGCCGATATTGCTATTAACATGACGTATGCATATAATAAGGTGCAGTATGTCAAAAACATCAGTGCAATATTAGACAGCACCCGTGAGAACAGCACAGTTATACCGTTAACAGATTCATTCATGTCAAGCAGTGCGTGCAGGGCCGGTGAGCAGTCTGTGTACCTTTTGGTCACTCAGTTATGTTATAAAATGTATTTTCTTGTGATAACGGAATTTCGTTGAGACATATTTTCCTCACGCATGCATATATATATTTTTTTTTTGCTTGTTAGTTTGATTAGTGTTGATTTCAAATGCAATAAATATGTGTGAAGATTAAGGTTGGGTAGAGCTAAACGTTAATAAAATACAATTTAATGGGTAATTTAATAAGTAATATAAATATTTTCATTATAATGACTGTTTTACATTACTTTGAAGGTTGAGTTGAGAGTTGAGGTGGGGGTAGACATTAATA